GAGAGCTTTGCACGTGTCTCCTCGCTGACCTTCGACCACAAAAATCTGTCCGTTTCGAAGGCCTGTTGAAAAGTGACATGCCGATAGCCAGGTGGCGGCTCCCTCTGAATAGCTTCCAAAAGGGTCTGCGTCCATTTCTCCAGAACAAGGTAGGAAAAAGCACCAGACTGATCGTAAGCTATGGATCGTCGCCCCAGGGCCTCTTTGAGGCGCAGGGCATCTGTGACCGGGCAGGATGGTTCGTACGCTTTACGAGAGCTCTTCAAGTTCCCAGATGAGTCCAACACGAAAGTCTGCTCGGTCTTCTGCGCCCCCGCTTCGTGCCGCCTGGAGGAACACTTGTTGGGGTGAATGTACTTCACAATCTGCTTCTCCATCTGATGAACCGTCTGGTCCACGAGCCAGTGCGAGGGTTCAACCTCATCGGACCACAGGATCCCCGAAAGGCGCTTTTTCTGCTCGTCCAAACGGGCCAAACGTTCAGCTGCTGGAATAGATTTCGCGTCCGACTCAGAGGTCTGTTCGACTTTAGACTTCAGCTCAGCGAGCGCTAAGGCGTGAGCTTCAAACATGAGTCGCCTATAACATGCTGCCACACCGCCAACGGGTCGCTCCCCGAGCTTCTGCTCGAGATAATCGAAGAGCACCTTGTCGTCCGGTTGCTGAGGATTATACGTCGTGCAGAAAGCATACTTTGAAAAAGAATCAATCCCATCAGCCTTGAGCGCATCCAAGTGAGCCTCCGTGAGCCCCAGCTGCAAAGCTCGGGAGCGAAATGCAGCCTCCGAATCTATAATTGCCATGGCGGAATCGAGTGAAGGCAATTCGATCAAACCATGAAACGGTTGGAGTTCGAGATCATCACCCAGTTGCCCCTGACAAGTGTCACAAGTGGCCACACGGAAAACGAACGTGCGAACGTGAACGCCCCATTTTCCCGGCCAAAAGCTCACGTTTCGAGAAAAGGTTGCCCTGCGATCACTCATGAGTCTCCGACTGAGCTTGAAGCCAGACAGCGGAGACACTACCGGTTGCTGCCGAATGACTGCGTCGGTCAGCAAGTGCCAACGAATCCGCTCGATTGTCATGCTTGGCCCAGAAAAAGGGAAACACCCTCCTAGTCTCAAGCTCAGACTCGAGTGGGGCAAAGTGGTCGAGAGCTCCTTTGTGACCGGAAAATGGGGGTCGGGGGTCGTTATGGGACCCTTCAAAATTCCAAATGTTGAGGGCGTAGCGGAATATATCTTAAAAACTCAGGCTCCGAAAGGCAAAAGTGAATGAGGCACTTTCTCGCTTGCCTAGCCTGTCTACTTCATAGACGGCAGAACGATTGGGAGCCGGTAGTCCCACGGTTCCGTCTTATGCTATCCACATTGCGCGCAAAACTGCAGCATGTGGAAATCTTCAACGACATCCCCAAGGGGAATGAAGTTTCCGCTGATTTGGCGGCCGCACTTAAACAAGTCAGAGTCAGGGCCACGCCTAGTATGGACAATTTCGGAAATGCAATGCATCATGACCAGGGCACCTCCGAAGTCTGGCAGCTGCGGAGTTTCAAGCTGCAATTTCCTGCAAACGCCTGAAAATTGATTTGCAGAAATTTCAACGTCCTCGGGCTTGACGTCGAAGTCTCCCTCGCTTGAAAGGTCATCTTCCCCGGTAGGCAGCCGAAACCCTTTCGGGAGTAAAGACGCCAGCCTCTGCACTGCCGGGAGGTCGGGGTTGAATTTCCCCCTCCGAATGTCCATGAGCATCGGCCAGATCTTTGCTTGCAACTCCACGTAGCTGTCCCGTGCGTAAGTGAGACGAGAGCGCTCGTGCGGGTCCACATGGTGACCAAGAACACGCCTTTCAGCTGGGGTGAGGATACCCGCCTTGGCCACCCACGAGAGAAGACAGCTCTTCAAGCTGTGCGTTGATACGCCATCCGTCTGAGCTCGAGTGAACCCCTTCTCCATCAACAACTGTCGAAGCCAACAGCTTGCCTCCGCTGAAGTCATTGGACGCTTCAGCCAGCTGAATGAGGTGTCAGAGAAGGCCGGCAGCACGTGAGACAACTCGTGATGGCCTTGCCATTCTCTCAAATCCATCCAAACCGGAGCCCAGGGTTTCTTTGAAAGCCCACATCCGAGCGCCACAATGGGCAGCAAAGTCCGCTTTTGCTGAACGGTGATGGACGTTTTGTGCTGAGTGGTGGCGCCATGCATCAAAACCAGCCCTTCGTGTTTCTCCAAAGTCAAAGATTCCAAATACATGCAATCGCTGAATCGACTAACCGAGAAGAGAACCAGAATGAAAAACCCGGCAATGATCCTCTCGTGCGTGATTCCACCGTTCAAGACGATGTCCTCCAGCGCCTCCACCATGGACGCGCTAAGAGGGGCTGCTTGCTTAAGGACCCGCTTTTTCAGCGCCATAGCTTTTGCAGCACCAACCACTCGTGCGCTGAGCAGTTCGGCTGGGATGGCAAACTCCAGTTGCGCTGCAGCATGTATGAAGCGCCAGCTCTCCAAGAAAACAGTCGCTTTGGTGGGAGCCGCCTTGCTCTCCCTGAGGTGGCACATATATTTGTAGACCAACAATTCAGTTGCCCTCAAAGGAGACTCAAACCCGTCAGAAAGCGCCCAAGTTGCAAATGACCAAATTGCAGCTGAGCGCTTGACCAGCGTGGCCGTGGCTTTGACAGCCATAGCATCCTGAAAAGTGGATCGGATTACCGACTCCTCCACCAGAGAACCACCTAGAGTAAGCAGCTGCTTCCCCAACTTGCTTGATTGCACATCGTACAAAACCAAAGTCCGCATTTTGGTAAGAGCTGCAGTGCGAAGTTCATCATCGGTCTTGTGAATCTTGGAAAGCCATACCCTTCTCCTAGCCAAATGACCCGTGATGGCAGGAAGTGCCCGTGGCTGCTGCGTCTTCGGCAAACTCACCTGACCAAGAACTTCTTGCAGCCCGAGCCTAGATGTGGGATAAGGCTCAATCCTGTCTGGGGGATTGAATACACTGCGCAAAGGCCCGGTTTCCCAAGGCAAATTCAGGCCGATCTTGCGGGTCAAGCCGAAAGCCAAATTCCTGGCTTCAATCTCAACAGCACGATTCAGCTGCCGCGACCAAACACTGACTGCATGCCCCGAGGCCAGCGCTGGTTGAGAGGAATAAGATTCACTTGCACGGCGATCAGTCTGGATGCCATGATGTGTCTGTTCACCTCCAACCATGCAAAAACCACTGCTATCGCGTTTCCCGGTCGACGCGGAGATACGTGAAGCCGATGAAACCATGTCCGGAATGCAATCAAACTTCTCAGAAGGACATGAGGGCAATGACAAATCATCTGCGTCTTCCCCGCTAGCAAAAGCTGATTCTGGGAGCAAGGGGGCAGACAAACGAGGTTCTTGGTATAGCGAAGAGAGACTAGTCAGCGTGCTGGCTTCTCCAGCGGGTGTCTGATTGCATTGGTCGTCCATCGCATCCGAACCATTCCCCCTCAAAGCATGCGATGTGATGAATGCCATGGGAAAAAGGAAAACATCACGCAAGAAAATCCACACGCTGGAAAATCTTGAAAAACGGCACCCGCCCTCCACACCCTAGGTTGCTGAGCCAACGTGCTTCCGGCTCAAACAATCCACATGAGGGTTTGGTCTGTTTGAAAGAACGGTGTTCAAAAAACAATGCAAGTATGACAAGTCACACAATGCAAAGTCATGACATGGTTCCAACGCCATGACCACTTATTGTTTGCCACGCACGAACCTCTGCGTGCGGTACAGAGGATCAGATGTGTTGGTTGACCAAAAAGAGGTCACGCTGCAAATCAAAGGCGCCACAACCTAGACTCGGCCCGCTCCCTCTTTGTGAAACAATTATGATTAGATATGACTAGGGCACCCCAGAGAGGTCGCTGCCCTTTTTGGCCAAAGACAAATCCATCAACAAGTTGAAGTGTATTGTCACACCTTCAGAAACTGCCGCCATCCAGCTTTCCTGGAGCACACCTGGTATTTCTATGAACAACTATGGAGTATTGCATGCACGGTGGATTCCCAAGGCGTCGCTTGTACAGAAGCTCAAAGCAACGGCCAGCACAACTTACCTGCAAAGGCAGCAAAGGCAGCAAAGGCAGCAGCAGGAAAGGAGCAGCAGCGGAAGAAGAAGGATATCGAGAAGGAGAAGCAGAAGGAGAAGAAGAAGAAGAAGAACAAGAAGAAGAAGACGAAGGATAATAATGATGAAGAAGACATTTGGAGAGACAACGGCTGCAACAATAACAAAATAACGACAGCAGCGATACGACATCAACAAAAATGGCAGCGAGGGCCACTTCGCCACTGAGCTGTGAAGCCCATATCACGAAGTGCGTGAGATACACGGCCCTTCTTGACGGCTGCTTTTCAGGCGATATTCAGGGAGATACGAGCAGCGGCATTCAATTGCAAAACCAGTTTGGGCAAAAAAGGCTCCAGAACTATTCAGGCAACTGTAGTTTGAAGAACGCCATCATGCAGTCAAATGCTTGATATCAGTACCCGTAAAACCTGTGATGCGAGTCGTTTCAACACGTGGCATGTGCAAACACAGTGAATGGGTAAATTACATCATATACAAGGACAAACAGCACTCATTTTGTTTGATGATGCAAATAGATTGACCCGGTGTGAGATTGAGCAGGGGGCCATTTGGCTGCACTGACTGAGACTCACAGTCAAGTTTAATCACTCGGCTCATTCAAGCTTCTGAAACTGTGCAAATGGACTCAGAACGACTCATGCCAATTCCCATCTTTGGGATGTGGAAGCCTGCATTTTTTGGACGTGAGTCATAATCAAACCCGGTATTAAAATGGTCTACCCATAACCATGTAAAGAAATAAGAAGGCGGATATCCGCAGCTATTTGTGGTTGGGATTGTCCCTTACTAACCTTCATCTACCCGAATCGGTGTTCATTGCGACTCACGTGCCGCACTGAGCCCAAAGCCACAAGAGGAACGCTGGCCTTGGCCACCGGAGCTGGAGCCGGAGCGGAAGCCGGCTGCGACTCCTCGCTCCTGCGCGGTGGCGTCCACGGCTTTTGGCGGCTTCTTAAAGCGAGACCAAATGGAAACCGACGGATTTGCGGGTTCCCCGCAGTTTGAGACACACCCAATTGGAGTCATAGCAGGTGCAACTCATGGTCCGTGATCAGATACTTCGACCCTGGAAGCCTGGAACCGTGGCTCTCTCACTCGCCAACTCAGGGTTTATTCGCAGTACACTTGGGCAGAGCGGTGGTGAGGCGGGCAGGAGGTGATAACCTGAGTTTCCTCATTGTTCACAAGTTTTAAACCAAACATCGCTTTTGCCCAACAGCTCCTCATGTCGTTAGAAATACTTTGCAAATTCTACGTTGGAGGTGGCGATCAGATGCCTCACATCATGGGCGAGGCATTCCATCTTGACCGCCCGTTCGATCGGCTATTGTCTGTGCAAAGGTCTCATATGTGTATATATATTGTATTCTTGCAAGCTGAACGCCACTTCGCAGTGCTCACAGCAAAGTGGGTTGGTCTCCAAATAAAATGTAGGGGAGATCACAAATGTTGGTTCTTCCTGTGGCTTGCCTCTCAAGCCACCACGAAAAGGGTTCCAACCACTTTTTCTCCAGCGCAGCATGGATCCTTGCCTGGATCCACGTGCTGACATGAAGCTGGAGCGATCATCTCCTGGCGCAGCGAATAGCCAACGATGTTTTGAGGTCCCACTCATAGACATCCTCGAATATGTGTATCTATGCGTTTCCTTTTCTGGGGTGATTGAATCCTTGGTCTCAAGATTATCTAGGCCGAACAAAGCAGCGATCTATAGCGATCTATTTAGCCTTCCCCAAGCGAACAAAACGAAAACACTTACCATCAGCTCCCGGGGGCTCATGAAACTGTCCATCAAAAACAGGGGCCACGGTCATCTCCGTGATATGATATGTCTGTGCGTGCATGTCTGTGCGTGCGCCTTGGGAGGGGGTAGGGGGCGTGTGCGCACGAGCATGCGTGCGTGTGTGCGTGCGCGGGTGGGTGCGTGCGCATGTGTGTGTGTGTGCCAGTACCACGGTTCCCCTCCAAAGTTTTGAACATGCACTACAATGGGTCTTTGGAATTGACATGTCTATACAACTATACATAGATAAATCATATATATATATGGTGGTTGTTCTAAATTCCTTTGTCTCGAAACGGCCATTCTTCGCGAATAAAAAAGTTACTTTCGCGAATCTTTCGCGGATTCATCGCCGTGCCCTTTTCCTTGCTCAAGTCAGAAAATCGCTGATTTTAAGTGCCAGCGTAGTGCGCGAAATTCGATTCCCCAACTCCCGCTGTAAAGTCGCAACTTTCATCACAGGGGTAGTACATGACATGCACGGGCTGGAAAGACGCAGCTTTTCGTAAGCCGTGCAGCTCCAGCTTAAAGTCGCAACTTTCCAGTACCAAGCTGGTATACTGACAAGCGCGGCGCTCAGAAAGTACCTCCCCGTTACAATCGAAGCCGCTTTCGCGGGGGCTTTCGCGGATCTTTCACGGAACTTTCGCGAAAAACCACCCACGTTTCAGAGCGGAAAGGCGCCGAGTAAACACCCACAGGCACACATACACAGGCTTGGGGCACTAACCAGCCAAGCAGGGTATCAAACTGTAGCCTCACCAGGCTTTTTCGGCGCAAAATCAACAAAGTGTTGTAATCAGCGCAGAAGGAAGGCTCAGCAGCAAAGATGAATGGTTTCACATATCATTGATTTACAAGACACAGTTACGCAAAACTTTCGCGAGAAAAAAAGTTACTTTCGCAACTCCATCGCGAATCTTTCGCGGAGCTACCTCCACCAACACCGATGGTCACCGAATACTAAACTCCTTACAAGGACCTTTAGAACGACTCCCATATATATATATATATATATTGCCGCTGCCTTGATTGCTTCTTTTCCAAGTGCGACCTCAAGTTGCAAACAATTCATCAGCCACTTCGATCCCTCAATGCGGGAGTTCCGTTGCTTTGTCAAGCTCTTCAACATCTGAACAAGTTGGTTGACAAGTCGCCATGGGCCAAAAGCCCATACCCCCAGTGAACATCCCAATCCCCACTACAATAGACTAAAATGGGTGGTGCACCTACCCAAAATGGCACGATTGGTTTTGACCCACAGCCAAGTAGGAACAACTACCAGGACATGCTTCATGCGAAAGGTTCGCGTCGCAAACACACCCGCAACTGCAACGGACGCAAAAGCCACCCATGCTCGCACCTAGGAAGTACTCTTCCGTGGGCTGTGAGACAAGTGACCTGCCAGTTGCCATGCGCAGAAATTATTGGTATCTCTCTCTCTCTGTCTATCTCTGTTTGTACCTCCGGATAAGCCCTTCCCGCAGGCTGAAACACTTTCATGTGAACCACATGCATCAAGTTCTGCTTTGCGAACATTCCTTGAGCCAGATTTGACGTTGAAGTCCAACTGGCATTTTGCTTCACTCGCTAGGGAACTATTGGCTCTGCGTGTTGGCAGCCTAGGCCTAGCTGGGCCCTATTTGGACCCTCAAGTTTGTGCCTACGGGTCAAACGCCGCCCACTCACTTTCTGACGGGGGTTAAGGCACGCTAATCGTCTCTGGGTTTGTGTGGGGTGTTGTAGGCTTTTGCGCTTGTCTGTGGATCTTCCATGCCGAAAAACAAGGAGTTGGGTGGGAATTTCATAGGTTCTACTGACATTTAAGAAATGCATGTTGCATGCTGTTTCAAAGGGTTCTTGCCTGTACCAGGTGATTTTAAGATGTATCCTTTCAGGGACCCTGGTATAGGACATGGAATCCCTAATCCAAAAGAATATTAGCGCTAGGGCGGTGTCAAGTACCAGCTACAAAAACGAGGTAAGCGTTTGCAAGCACATTGCTTTCAACAGTTGCAGGGGGTCAAGGTACAATAATATGGTTAAAGCATGACCTGAAGATGTGTTTCGGTGGTCGACGGGTTGAGGTCCACGCAGGACAATTGACTCCTCCAGGAACAGCATTGAGAATGATGGTGCTTGCAGAGCATGCAATTGAGACACAGGACATGACAGAACTTGGCTGCTCAAGTATGTCTGAAGCTCGCATCGGAGATGAGTATGCTCGAACTATGGCAAAGCGGACACACAGGACTCGACGCGGCCCCTAAGCAATTCAAATCCTTGCAGGGAGGTTCAAACGAAGTGAACACAACCCTGCGCCAAAGTGTCATTTTGCTGCACCAGGAAGTCTTGGGCTCGCTAAATGCAGCGGCCAAACCTACCCCTATGCTTGGCTTCTTGCCTTCACAGCCTTCTTCGAAGTACGGTTCTTGCGGGTGCAATAGGGAAGGAATGACCGAGTCCGGGTGTTGGTGGAAAAGCAAAACTGAAGGGGGCGCCCTAAAAGCTTTGAAGCCACCAGGAATGGGTTAAATCGGGGTCATTCCATTTGAACCCAGAAACTCCCTGAAAGCTTTGAAAACACCAGGAATGGTGTGCCCATTTTTTATTCTGCTTCATTTTAAATATAAGATCGCATTGGCTTTGTGCTTTGGTAAACCCAACAGTTTTTTTTTTAAGCAACCCAGTGTTGACCAAAAAACCCTTCCCTGCTTCCCTGAGAACCTGCAAACATCCCACGGGGGAAGAGGCGCCTGGCCGCCGAGGCGGCGAAGCTGGCCCGCGCCGCGCTCTTGCGGCCCTGAACTCGTTGCGGGCGCTTGCTGCGCGCTGCGAGCGGTTTGGTGCGGCCGTTTTGCCGGGCAAAGAGATTTGGGCGAGGTACAACTTCCTTTGACCTCAAAACCATCGTTTTTGGCCATTGAAAGGCACTGCTTGTGTTTTGCTGACATTGGGCCAAAGAGATTTGGCCGGGGGTCAAAGCCCTCAACACCCCTGGTGAACAGCAAAATAGATGGCAAACCCATGTTCATCCACCCCAAAGTGGAGCCATAGGTTATGCCCCCCGGCCATTTGTGTGATACGGCGACCAAAAGGGAAGGAACATGAGAGGAACCAAACTGCAGATCCGTCTAAATTCAGGTACACATGGCACCACCCTTGGAGGGTGCTGGTGAGAGGAGCCAAACTGCAGAGTTGGTCTAGCTTCATTTGTTTTGGCTTCCCATCTAATTATCTTGGCCCTTTGCAGTTCAGGATAGGTCCCAAAAGAGAAAGGAGCATGCCAGCACCCTCCAACGGTTTTGTCAATTTACCCAAAATGGCTCGCCTACACGGGCACTTCAGGTACAAATGACACCACCCTTGGAGGGTGCTGGTGAGAGGAACCAAACTACAGACCAGTGACTTCATTTGCAAAGCTTCCCGTCTAATTATTGCAGTTCGGGATAGGTGTCCATGGCTACAGTTTGGCTGAACGTGAATAGGTTCCACTGGCATCAGCTTGCTCAGTGACCACGCTGTGTCCTATGAAGGAAGCATCGCAAGTGCCGCAAGGGAGTCAATCCTTGAGCCTCTCAGCCCCGTTTATGACACAACAAAACACAAACAACTAAGCTCCATTTGCCAACAGGAAACTAAGTAAAGGCATATCAGATACTCGCTGTTTCAAGGGCCTAACTCAAACTGATTTGGGGCATGGCCGGGACCCGCAAACAAGCTACTAGCACCTTCACCACTGGGTCAAACATCGACAAGAGCCAACTCATTTCGAACACTGAGGCTGCCTTCGGAAAGTGCCCAAGCAAGTCGCTAAACACATCGACTGAAGATGTCTTAGATTCCTTAAGCAACTGGACATCAAGTCAAATGTGCGTCTTGAGCCATCATGCACGCATTCTTATGAGCCCAGCGGGGTTGAGCAACTCAATTTAAATCCGCTACTTCTCTCACCCCAAGTCAATGCTTGATAGTCACATCTAGTCTCTGGCTCAAGTGTTCAACACCCCAACTGCAAAACATATCCACAACACGGTGTCAAGTCGTTTGTCCTGCAAACTGTCAGCAGCCATTAAAATTCATAAGCAGCGCACTCTAGTAGTGCACTTCCCTGCTTGCTCTTCACATCCCTTCTGAACAAATCCGTTGCTTGCAATTAATGCTTCACACAATTCAGTACCGAAACTGCTTCTATGCTGAGAATCCACCACCAAGAAATAATGTCCTGATTGTACGACATCATGGCCAATATTTTCTGGATCACTCGGCAAGCCTTCTCCCGTGCTCAACTTGCTCAACCATTCATGGCCAAAGATGGGTCAAACCTGGTCGGCTTCCGTGCCAATCCTCGGTGTCTGTTCGAACCTTTCCTCTGCCAAAGTGAACAACTCAGTTGCCCAAAGGACCTAGAACTAAAAGGTTAACCTTTTGGGGCCATGACTAAATATGGACCAAAATGGGAAAGCCAAAAGGTCAAAAGGTCGATTCGCTTTGAACAACTGGCTGTAGCTCAAAAAACATGTACCAAAATGGGTTGCCCTGGGAAGTGGAAACATGGACCAAAACCTGCGTAACCCTAGCTCTTTAATTTTGAGCCACACCCAACTGAGAAAAGGCTCCACTCCCATTTTGCCTCCTGCGGCGCAGGCCCACAGCCGGGCAGGGCGATTTCGGGCCTGGGTTCTGGTGGCGGTGAAAGGCAAGCAACCCGTTGGTAAATGACAGGGAAGCGTGTGGAAACGCGGGAAACCCGCCTCCAATTGCTATGAGTGAGAGGTGGAAAGGCATGCGAAAAAGTTGCGATAGGCTTGTAGAACTGCTGGCTAATCCGTTTCGAGAGATCTTGGCGCGGCACTTGGAACTCATGATAAGTCATCCGCGATTGCAGAAAGAAGTGAGGCATCACCCTGCTTGCTTGTGCCAAGTTGAACTAGGATGCAAATCAGCGGCCCTGGATGCCCAACGTACCGTATACACGCACAGAAGGGTGCTGGGGAGGAAAACAAGGCAAGCAAGGAAGCAAGGAAGCAAGGAAGCAAGGAAGCAAGGAAGCAAGGAAGCAAGGAGGCAAGGAGGCAAGGAAGCAAGGAAGCAAGGAAGCAAGGAAGCAAGGAAGCAGGGAAGGAAGGAAGGAAGGAAGGAAGGAAGGAAGGAAGGAAGGATGGAAGCAAGCAATTAAGCAATCAGACACATCGACCGACAAATGACGGGCATGACCGACAAATGGTAGACAAACAGGCAGGAAAACAGGCAGGAAAACACATGACGCGAGAAAGTGTGAATAAGCATAACATTGCAGAGCGCAGCACAGCTCAGCAAACACAAAGGAAACAAAACAAACAAACGAGCAGCCATACGAACAAATACCAACTGACCGTCAAGCATACATTTCACACATGCATTCAACACACAGAATCACAAAGACAACGAAACCAACACAACACAACCAACCAACCAACCGACCGACCGACCGACCGACCGACCAACCGACTGAGCGTCCGACCAATTCGCAACCAAAATCAACAAATTAAACAAATACAAGAAAACAAGCGCATAAACAAACAAAGGAAACCAAGCAAAAAACCGAGCAGCCATATGCACAATACCAACTAACCCATCGAGCATACATTTCACACATGCATTAAACACACCGAACCACAAAGACAACACAACAAAACAACCAGCCAACCAACCAACCGACCGACCGACCGACCGACCAACCGACTGAGCGTCCGACCAATTCGCCACCAAAATGAACAAATAAACAAACAATGCAAACAAAATCGAACAAACAAACAAACAAACAAACGAACAAACAAAAAGCAAACAAACAAACAAACAAGCAAACAAACAAACAAACAAGCACATAAACAGGGAATTCAAGGCAAACAACCGAGCCGCCGTATGCACAAATGCCAACTAACCGTCAAGCATACATTTGACTGCATGGAACACACCGCATTACCAGGACAACACAACAAACATACCAACCAGCCGACCAACCGACCAACCGACCGACCTACCAATCGTCCGACCAACCCGCAAGCAAAAGAACCGAACAAACAAACAAACAACCAAGCAAGAAAAGAAGCACCCAAACAAGCAAACATAAACAACAGCAAACAAACAATCTCGCAAACAACATGCAAGCACACAAGCAAGCAAGCAAGCAAGCAAGCACGCACGCACGCAAGCAAGCAAGCAAGCAAGCAAGCAAGCAAGCAAGCAAGCAAGCAAGCAAGCAAGCAAGCAAGCGGGGGGAAGCCGGCCGGCCAGCCAGCCAGCCAGCCAGCCATGCATCCATCCAGCGAGCAAGCAAACCAACATACAAACAAACAGTCAAACAAACACAAAAAAACAACACATAAATAACCAAGCAAACAAAAACACACACACACAAACACAAGCAAACCAAAAAAACAAAAACACATGCAACATACATACAGCATCAGGAGTTTGCAGCGAAGATTTCCGATTGTACAGGAACCCCATCAGTAATCAAGCCCAACACCTTTCCAGACTCCATGAGCGCGACCTTCTAGATTGTTTTGACGTCATCTAGAATCTACGGGATACTTGTTTCATGCTCCAAATTGAGGAAAAGGTCTGAGTCAAAGAGCATCTTGGAACGGATGTTCAAAGTCCCAATGCATCATGTAACCTGTAAGGAATCGCAATTTCAATATTGCCATCATGCAGCAACACTTGATCCGAACTCTACACTCTTGAATGGGGAAAGGATACCAGCCAGCGCCTGCTTTAACACACCAGCGTGAGAGGATCCCAAGAGGTCCATGAGCAAGCTCCACAAGCATGTCAGCACGGCCTGCGGCCTACCAATGGAGTTGCAAGAGTTGCAAAGGGCAAATTCATCGGTTGAATTGACAAAATGTAGGGGGCTACATACTTTCACCCCGTTCTCATGTTGTAGGCCCCTGGCATTCGGCTTTCAAAACCATCATGCCGATTGGATTGTATCCAAAACCAATCCATAAAGCTGTGATCGTCGTAGCAACCTCGCAACCCATCAAGTCGAACATATGTCCAGAAATCACAACTTCATCTTTTCAAAAAGAAACAACCACGTAGCAAGCCGGGTTCTGATTTAAAAAAAAAAATGTCGGGATAAATAACCAATAAATAAATATATATATATATATGAGGGGGAAAAACACCTTCTGTTTTCTGCACCTTGGGCTCCCCGCGCCGGCACGGGCTCATCCAGAGCCCGGGAGGCGGCACGGGTGCGGGCCGCCACGGCCGTGAAGCTGCGGCGTTTGGACGGGAAAACGAACCGAATGTCTGTGGGTCAAACATGGGTCAGTGGAGAGGCGGGAATAAGGGTACCCTTTCTTTCCATAATCGATCTTATTATGGGAACCCTCCCAACCGAAAAAGAAACGGTAGAAGGGCACCAATTGCTGGGGGGCCTAGTAGGGTAACCCCAAATGGAATTTTGGTAAGCGGCAACATGGACCAAACTCTGTGGTCCCCTGGTGGTTTAATTTTGACCCACACCAATGGTGAAACCGAAGCAGTGGTTTTTCTGTTCACTGGGGGCGACCAAAGCGGTGGATCTTCGTCTTTTTTGTGGTTGTTTCTCTTGTTCCGGTGAGGCGAAGTAGTGCTTTTTCCCATTTTCCTGGTTGTCTCCTGGTCGAATCAAGTGGGGGAAACGAACGAACTCAGTGCCCGAGAAACCAGCAGGAATTTCTACAGGCAACCCCTGGCTTTGGTGGCTAAGGTTCTACGAAAGTGTCCAAATTGGGGAACTGTACAAATGGTGTTTCCTTCTTGGTCTCTTTCAAAACCAATGTAAAAAGGGTACCGGGTACCCTCACAAACCACACGGGGCTGCAAGAAAACTAAACAAACAAAGCGGGGGAGTGACTGAGGGAACCCGACAAGCACAATAGGAGCTGTTGTTTTGGAGACTTGCCATCCTTTGGGGTGGGTTTAAGACGGAAACCGAAAGGATGTTTTAGGCCTATTTTAAGACATATCGAACTGGACAAAGGCAACCAGCGAGCAACTTAGGTGTCCTGTTGAACATATAGATGGCACTTGCAAACGATTAGAACCAAACTAATACTGGAACCCGGCATATTTGCACCAAATAGACCACTAAGAACACCTTTGGCGAACGGGGTGCTTGTGGGGAGAAGCCGATCTAGTCTGCTCAACCAGAACATCTCGAAGAAGGGGGCCAGCGGACCACAGGGCTGTTGGCTTCTTTCCTTCTCGGAACCACAAAAGAAGGGCTCAACATGCCGCATGCCAACCATTGCCACGTTTGCATGACATATTATATGGCTGTGGCAAAAATAGGTACCCAAACTGGGACCCTGCTACATTGAACAGTAGACTAATTACAACCTGCGGTTTCTGGGTGACTTGATTTTGACCCATGCCCATATGGCCTCTGGGCTATGAGATTCAGGGTGGCCGAAGTGTGTATCCAAATGCATTCTAATCATCATCCGGGCTTTGTGTTCTTGGAGCTTCTAAGCGTCTGAAGGTTCTTGGCCGCTAAAATGCGAATACTTATCGCAAGACAATCAAAGCTTGTAAACTCAAAGATTTCAGGTCCTTGCCTTTCCTCGATTATCTTTGAATGATTGCCTCTCTGATATTCAACCCTATGACTGCCAATGTGGTTTGCCGCCGGTTGTGCTGCTGACAGTCTATATAGGTTGCTGTGTTGCAGTACACCTGGATCGGGCATCCTAGTTCGATTTCCAAGCACTGCCTTTGCTGGGGTTCTATTTTAGTAGGGGAACCCTCCCAACCAAAAAAGGGGTGAGAAAGGGCACCGATCGCTGGGGGACCTAGTATATGGCTGGGTGAAAAATAGGGTAACCCCAAAATGGCTTGCCCTACATGGAAACATGGACTAACATCTGCGGTTTTCCGGTCATTTAATATTGACCCACATAGGCGCTCGAGGAATGTGAAGCCATCCGATTCGCCTGGAGCCCGTGGCCGCACAGGTTGCCGCCACCTCCAGGTCCACCTGACGATCGATGTGGGCCTGGCAAGCGCGGATAGGAACGGCGTGCTTTTTGTCTTTTTTGGGTTTTCCTGACAGCTCCGCAAAAGAAACACGTGGACGTATATACTCGGTTGCTTTCTGCTCCCCTGCTAAAAGTTTAACTTTTAGGGGTTTAATGGAATCCATTAGTTGGCAAACAGTTAAAGTCCTGACATCCAAGCAAAATGCACCAAAGTATATAGTATATAGTTTTTTTTTTTTCACGCGCCCCCATGAACTTTGGCTACACAACATGCTACAAGGGTACTTCATGGGGGGGGGATGAGCATATATGTATATATTATCACTTGCCCAAAGGACTTGTGGCTGGTTCCAAAGTCCATTTCGCACCACCGTTCTGAAAACCTGGCTTGTGATGATTCCCCCTGTAAATACTAACAAGCAATGGTTTGCCATAGGACAGAGTGGCGCGAACGGATTTTCGTCCACAGGAAATCAGGCGATCTCCTTTCAAAGGGCCATCCAGGAAGGGGAACCAAAAGCTACGGCGTCGGGCAAAAAAACAACAACAATCGGTGTGTCACGCTGCTAGAAAAAGATATGAACCTATGCACAAGACGCATATATGTATATGATATGCACACGCATCATATACAAGGGTGTGCCCTTGTTTTTTTGAGTGCTCTGTTCAGGTTGGATTGAAAGGGACACCAAAGGAAACACACATGGTTTTTTGGGTCTCTCAAACTACATATTGTAATGGACACACATGCCTTTGCAAACTGCAAAAGGAATGTATGGGCAACCCCGATTCAATGTGAAGCCTGGTGCCCCTTTATTGCTTACTCTGGCAAGCTTTCATGTTTTGCCCTCCCAGGCACGTGCATGAACGAGAAGAAGCTGGCCAGTTATCAGCATGAGTCTTTGTTGGTGGGAGGGATGATCCATCGAGGGAACCATGACGAACATCCCCCGTACAAGCAAACAAGTAGAAGCAGAGGTTGCAGGAATGCCAAAGGGTGACTCTGCCAATGTTTTGCGTTGGTGAATATGTCTTTCTACTAGGCAACAGACAGAAGCTTTGAAGAATCCAGCATGTTCCAACCTTCCACGATTCTCTTCACTTCTCCGTTCGAGCAGCAAACGTAAAATCGCCACACTCAAACAGCGGAGTAATGCCTTCGTTGCTCTCATGTCAAGCTCGATCCCAATCAAGGAGTCATCGGCTATGTGAAGTTGTCTGGCCCGGAATGATAGCGAAATACAAATCACTGGCTGAGCAATGTATTGCTAAGCGAGCAGACATCTCTTGGCGGATTGCGCGCATGGGGACTGCAAAGCCGAAGGCAAATCCGTAAAGTCGACCCAAAAGCAAGGGTCAGGCGTGCCATCTTTTGTTGACTTCAGGAAGTCAGCTTCAAAGTGGAAGAATCCACTCGAAATAGTGATTGGATTTTGCGGGGTTGTGACCTGTGGAACCCATCTACATTGGACATGCATTTTAGTTCCTCCGAGTCCGGCATGGATCCTTGGGAGGTGGACACTTAAACCAGCAACAAACTGGTCACCGTTTTGGCACACACACAGCCGTAGAATGACAGCCCGTGGGCCCTGCTCAACACCTTGCAAGCGAACCAAGTCCCTGCCGGAAACCCATGCATACATCCTGCGGAACTCTACATCTTTCAGCTTTGGCTATGGCACAAGGCAACGCGCCCAGTGATACACAGCAGCAACTTGGCGTATACTGTCATGTCTACCAAATGCATCGTCTTAGGTGTGGGATGAAACAAAGTCCGTATGTCCAGAATTGTCAGCCCCCTTTGAATGGGTCCCCACATTGGTGGGATCCAGTTCATGACCAAGACCTTTCGAACATGCTTAGCTCCTAGACCCCCCACCCAGGCTCCGCGACGCGCCCTTTCTTTCACCAGCGCAATGCACTGGCTCAGAGGCCCTCACAGCGGGGATCTGCGCCGTAGGCCCGCGCCTGCGACCCAGAAAGCTGCATCGCACACCCGAAATGAGGCACATAGCGCAAGGAGGGAGGCCGTCCGTATTCGGCAAACAAACAAACGGGGACAAAAACAAAAACACCAAACTCCTCCCAGTGGCAACGGCTTGGTTTCGAGATCACAGCCCATACCCGTGAGCTGAAACCCGATTGCTGCTAGGGAGGCTTTCTGCCAGGGAGGCCTTGGCGCCGCCGCCAGCTTTGGGCTATGGTTTTCGTCAGGGCTCCCAAGAGGTTCAAGTTGCATGTTCCGCCAGCAACTTGCACCGTCCTGGAAACAAACAAGCAATGCCTTAGCCATGTTCTCCACCGGAATCTGAACAATGGCTTTTGTGTTTATTATCTTTTTCATATGACTCGGGTTGTGGAGGAAATGTTCGCAGGGTGGAAATGCCTCGGAAAGGCAACACTGTATATATTTTAGAAGAAACTCTGCAACAGGACAGTTGGTGGTGGTTCCACACAAGAGGGAACATATCCCCCCAAGGACCCTCATGGACAACAATTTTGGCAGTTCCGCCTCTTCCAGAAAAGCCTTGCAGCAGAAGGTGCAGTGCTCCGTTTCCTGGAACCACAGGCAAAGAGCCTTGGCGCTTGGACGGACTAAAGGCGTTTTGTTCTATGGTGTTTTGTGCGGTTCCAGTTGCTACGTTTCATGTCTGGCGCTGTCTCGCATGTTTAGGAAATCAACTTTTGCTCTCCAATTGTGGATTCCTCCGGCTACCCCTGACTAGACTGATCCCCAGTCATATAGCAGGTAGCAGGCTTTGATGGCTTCTCTACTCAGAGTTTGGGCCAGCCACCAGTTTTGTACAGTTCTCGTTCTCTTGCGCCTTCCATCAACCCAAACGGCCCCCAAAGGGCTCTGGTCTTTGCTTTTGTGCCAATTGCGGAAACTACTACACAACCAACCATTCTAATTGCCCACAGTACCAAATGTCATAGGGAAACCCTATTTGAATAGTTTCCAAAGGGAAACCAATACGGCACCACACACGCACAACGACTCACAAGGAAGGGGTTCTTGTTGCAATGCACATACTTGAAAATAACTCCTCGAGTACGGAAGTTTGATGGGGAAGTCGCGCAATCATACAATCCTTTTATGTCGCTGCAGTTGTCAAGTTCAAATTCAACTGATTTTTATACACAAGCTGATTGTAAAGCTGCACAATCTGTTCCAAGTCGGACCATTTTGATAAAACAACACCCTCAGTTTGCCCAAGGGTTTGTTGGTTAATATCCAAGTAGGCCCTAAGTGGTGGGTCCAACATGTGGATAATAATTTTAAAGGCCCCCTTTATGCCCCTTTGGCAGACATCATTCAGGGTCTTTGTGTCCACCAGCCACATTTAAGGGGGATACTCTTAAAATTCCCGCCCCCCCCCAGAACAACAAATTCGTCCCCGCCGAGTTGGGGGGACCAGAGACCCTGCCTAAGGCCCCCGCGGAGTTCTCGAAGAAGAGCACCAGCGTGCGAGCGATGGACTCGGGGCTCTTCCACACGACGCCTCGCTGAGTCGAATGGTTTTGGGGTCGTCTGGGGGCGTGAAGGGAACTGGCGACATCCAGCTGAGGCACGCTTTGCTAGCGGAGTCTTGGTACCTCACAAGGGCCCAGAGATCCCGACCTCTCCAATGAAGGATCCTTTCTGCTTAGGTCAGCAATGGGCAGCATGAAGCTACAGGCTGCGCATGCCCAACACAAACTCTTCCCAAGCTATCGCCTGGGATCATTTGCGCTGCGGGGCTGCGCGCAACGGCTGCCCCCCTGACCAGCATTTCCTGGAGCGGAGGGACCTACTCCCAGCGTCAATGTGTTTTTCTAACGGGGCAATCGATTGGCCGCAAAAAGGTAACGGTGCCAAGCTTGATGTTCTCGTGGGGCTAGGAGCCATAGTTCTTGTGACTCGGAGAAAATGCTAGCCAATGGAGGGGTTAGGCAGGTTGGAGGTCAACAATAACTCCTCATGCTCGCACATATTGTAGACATGATCATATTCTCACCCATATCGATAGGTCGACAGAAGGGGTCTGCTTTTGTCGGATTTGGAAAACCCGAAACAACGCTTACATCTATTTCAGCCACAACTGTTGCTCTTAGATATGTTGGGCAAGCTGCTGGTCCATTTACATTGCATGTCCACATCGTTGTGTCATAGGAGTCGGCCTTGACAAGAGCAGCAACCATGAGTTACCAACCGAGGCCGTGCTTCGTGTTCAAGCTTTTGCTTTCAAGACTTGGGGCTCAACACTCAAGCGACTGCAAGGAACCTTCGGATCCTTCTGAATGTCACGTGTGGCCTTGGGTCAGAATACTGTGGCATGGCTGTTCGGATCTGAGTCCACTCATGCAGTGCCTATATTCATCCCAGTGGCCGGCCCCAAACACGTTGCGCAAATCCCGCTTTCTTAACCCCAAGCAGGCAGCACACAGTGTGATACGCCTGCGACACATCGTTGCACTGACACACTGGCCCTTTGCTTTGCCATGCAAGTGTTCCCGCTGTTCCACTGTTTTGGAGCGAACCGGAGTCGATTGAACCTCGGCAAAATTGCGCCATACCAAAACTCGGAATGTATGGAGGTGCATAGGCACTAGCTTTTGCCTGGCCAATGCAAGGTATCATCCGTAGATGTCCATCTATAATAATACAAGTTGACATGTGTGTGGCCATGGTCCGGCTAAGGGTGAAACAACTTGCCTGCAACCGCAAAAAGCTTGACACACGGCCCGTTTTGGAGATCAACAGGAGTCGACCCTCTGCCGGGCAAGACGTCCCCTTCAAACGGAACTTCTGCACTAGGGGAAGCAAAGGATGTTACCCCTGCACAACATCTCGATCCCCTTCTCTGGCAAAGTAACAGCAAATATCCCGTTTAGGGTGTGATTACAAGGTATTGCGTACCAACTTCCAGAGCTTCCTTTGGTTTCTTCCGCACAGGGGCCATAGGTGCAGACAAATGCATTGCCCTGAAGCTGGACGCAACGGGTCCAGCATGGAGAGGTCGAAGGCGCTGCCATCTCGGCCCTAAGTTGGAGACGTGATACTGTGGACAAAATCCACTCCGATCGGCACCATTTGGAATTGATGGTTTATCCCATTCAGAGGAAGTCAGGGAGAGGTCCAGAAAATCTGTTGGACTCGCGGGTACGCTTCCACATATGCTAGAGCAATCGGCTCATGGCCCATCGGACCAAAACTACCAATGACACGCTGAGCCATTGGAAAGCTAACTCTTGCTTCCACTGCCCACCCTATACCTGTCAAGCTACGCCTTGCTTGCCAGACCCTATCGCCCCCCCGGCTGGTGACCAAATTCACCCCTTTGTAACAAGCGAAGAAACTGAAGACTTCACTCCACCCGGTCGCAAGCGGCTGGGCACAAAATGGCCGAGACCGCCTTCCCAGACCAACAAATCAGACTGATTCGGTGAGTGATGACAATGTTGCAGACCATCACATTAGGCGGCGGATCTTCACTTTATGCGGGGGGGGGGGGGGGGGAGAGGGAAGGAGAGGGAGCTTCAGTAAGCCCCAAATAAGGCCTTATCACGGGCTTAATAAGGGCTTATTTGGGCTCCCTTTCCCTCCCCTCCCTCCCCCCCAGCCCCCATGATCACTCTGATAGAAGGAGGTACATGAGTCGGCCACCGCCTCAGGTGTGCCTGTTTCGATTCGCACTCCAGTGATTCCTCTGCTCTGGAGAATAAGGTCATCCCAGCTCTTCTGCTTGGCCTTGGGTTGGAACATCCCACCGTGAGACAAATCCAGCACTACTATAGCAATCACTTTTGCGACCTACTTCTTTCATACCCAGCTGTGCTCAGCAAGCGGAACCGGCCATATGTCGTTTGCCTGCTCCACTTATTTGGGCTCCACGCGGTGAAGAAGGATGAGATGCCACCGGACTGGCGCGGAGCTTGTTGACCACCGAAGTAACAACAAATAAATCCACACAGCATGGCGTTGAGCCGCTTGGCTGTATCCCAACTTGGGACCATTTTTTTCTTTTTTTCGGTGGAGCGTATGGACAAAATTTAGATCCAACCATTTAAAGCGCGCCATGGCCTATTGGCCCACCTTCACTTAGATGCCATTTGGACGGAAACACATTTGATTCATACCAATTGCACAGGACACTTGCAAGCACGGCGCCCCAAGGAGCCTCGTGCAAAGCTGGCGTTGTGAATTCAAGCCAATCAGATGCTGAATTTGGACGCTCAAAGGCAGTCAGCTGTGGTACCTACGAATGCACAAGTTTGAGCCGGATCACCCCGACCAGACTTGTGCAAGAATGACGATCATCATTCCAAATGCTGAGTGCTAGTTGTTTGCATTGTGCGTCCGTCATGTATTGTACCTCCCGAGTCCCCAACATCATGGATCCGAACACCAGGTGCCTTGTGCCTATAGGCATCTGCTCCTTTTGCCCCCTTCCCCCCCCCCCAAAACACTCGCCCCGGCCAATCGACGGACGAGGGCATAATTTCACATTGAACCACGCCCTAGAGAGAATGAAGAACCTCGACATAGCCCTGAGACAAGGCCACATAACACCTTAAACCAGATGGTTTCGATGTTTGTTCAGAATTTCTCTTGAGTTGAGGGTGTTGTACGCTTTTGGGGTGTTCTGCGTTATTCCCTCCGGACTTGACTCTAACATAGTTTCCACCACCCAAAACCACTCAGGCAAACCAGGGTGCATTGGGGAGTTACGTGATGACGACATATGACGACACCATCTGACGAAAGACCAACATTGTGGTGGAAAATACACACGTCTGCGATCCCAAAGTGGAATTCTCATCCCCAAGACTACTGTATCACTTTAGAGGAATGCCCTCGGTGCACATGCCATTTGCAAACCCGATTCACCATTATGATTCCTTGTGCTCTTCTTTCACCAGTTCATTAATCTATAAAACAATCTGGAGCCCCACTGCCCCTTTACATCCACACCAGTTCATCGATATCAGTCCTACAGCAAGTGAGGGACAATCAAAACCTGGTACTAAAATGGACCCAGAACCCATGTAAAGCATTCACCAGGCGGAGATCCGCACCCATTGCTGGTTGGGTCAACTCCCCGGGTTTTGAGGGACGTGAAGGCCAGCGAAGCCCAGCATCGCGCCCAGCCAGCCCCCAGCCCCCGAAGCCCATCGCGCGGGCGGCCGCGCGCGCCTCCACGGAGCTGAGATGCAGCGTGCCCACCTCCAGCGCGAGGACCTGAGGCTCGAAGCTGCCCTCGCTGCTCAGCACCAAGACCTCAGCTCGGCGAGTGGCTTCTGGCAAGGGGGCGTGTCAGGTTTTTACTTTGAGGAGCCTAGTGAGAGAATCCTATATATATATATATATATGTATTATCATAATGCAGTTGTCTTACCAAGAAAGGGACCCCTGAAATGTATTAAATGATAAGAACCGAGTCAAGGGACTTCCCATTTTTGAATGGGTATGAGTTGGTATGATATTGATTTGTGTACCCTTTGGTGGAGTTCTGGGTGTTCACCAAGCTTTTCCAGGATGTTCCCGATCAGAGTTTGTGGACGTGTGGGTGCGGCTCCTGCGCAACA